TCTCTCTCTCTGTCAAATAAATAAATAAAATCTTTTAAAAAAAATATATCAGGAGTTTAATGAGCTGGAGGTTAAACACTTTCATTATTAAAAATTAAATTATATCAATTAAATTATTTTAAAAACAGAAGTTAAAAACCTCAAAACTCATCACTTTCTAATTGTTTTCCAATGTTTTACTATTAGCCACGCTTGTAAGAATATTTATGTCTATTGTATCTGTATGTGGAAATACTGTGGAGATCTTGATGTGATACTGCACATCTCTTCTCAACTCTGCGTTCGGTGATGTCACATTGGTTGCTTGAAACTAGCCATGGTGAGAGTATTTACACTATGGAAATTGTCAAATGAAACAAAGCAGAGCTTGATTTACTGTCAGTTGTCTTCAGACTTAAAGTGATAGTAAAAGTGTTAATGAAGATTAAACTTAAAATGTTTGATCTGTGGCTGTCACATCGTCAGTAGCTTCCCAAAATTGAGGAAATATTCTTTCAGTATTTGAAAACTATCATGATTTCAGCAAAGTAGCTGCTTACATCACTGAAGAACAAGTGAAGTCCTGGCATACATCTCATTGTTTCACTTTTATCTTACTCATTAATATAAACAAAAATATCAGCCAACATTCATGCCAGAACTACACTGTCAGTAATGTGACTAACTTCTTTGCTGATTTGGATAAAAATCAAGCATTTATTTATAGTTTGAATTCATGACACTGCTGTTGGTAAAAACTGACAGTGGATTTTGCAAGTAGCAAGTCACACTGAAGTGTGGGTGTATGGAATTTACAATAAAGAGTCTTGTGATTTTTATCATTATTTGTAAATCATGTGCTAAGCATTTTTTCTATCAGTTAACTCTTTTTTAAAAGTTTACCAGCATATCACTGAGGGCAGTGCTATTTAAATCCTAGTACAAATTCCTCTTATGATATTCAATAAATGACAGCAGGGTTGTTTTTTTTTTTAATTTTATTGAGAGATAATTTACATATCATGAAGCCCACCCATGGTAAGCATACAACGTAATGATATAGGCCAGCAGGGACCAATTGACACCTGTAGTACTGCTTTAATATTCCATTTTTCAATGTTAATGTAATTTAACTCTGACTTAGGCTTTTTCCTTTGCTTAAGAAAATGATGTATGGAGATGGGTATTAAGGAGGGCACTTGTGATGAGCACTGGGTGTTATATGTAAGTGATGAATCACCAAATTTTACACCTGAAACCAATATTACCCTATTTGTTAGCCACCTAGAATTTAAATAAAAACTTGAAATAAAAAAAAGAAATTGATGTATGGTTAATTTTTATGTGATTTGTAATTTAAATAAATTATTTTACACCTAGAACCAGAGTTCCACATCTGTTTTCCTCTATTTCAAACTCTGTAGACTAGTTCACCTTCTCTAGCTTATTTTTTCTTCCTTTCTTGCTTTTAGACAACAGTTTTATGCTTTCCTGAGAAGTAATATATGCTGTGTGTTTGGAGCTTAGGAAAGGAACCATTCTCATTTCCTTTTTTCAGACACCCTAGGTGTTCTTTCAAACTATGAAACTTGGTGTTCACAGAGTACCAATTTTCACCAGAAGAGAACTTTATCATTGTTATTACAGCATAGTAGAGTGGTCTTAAAAGCAATTATAACCCTCATTTTTATCTAAGAATACTTGTATGGAAATAAATCTTTAGGTCTTGGATTTTATTTTATTATTTCAGAGGAAAATAAGTACTTAACTGTACTGTACATCATGTTTGTGATATTGATTGAATGAATATTTTGATCATTACAAAATGATAATTTTCAGCTCTACCACTTCCTCTGTATTTATGAGTTGGCATTTTACTGTAAGGAAAAGCCTTCCCTTTTACTTTATATATTTATTGTTTATATACTATCAGTATGGGCTCATGGATTAATGTTTTCTTTAATAGATTGTAATCTCTTACTTACCTTATTGATGTTGCTGCTCAAATTGTTCTGGATTTGGCTGGACTTCCTAGATTTGGCTGGTAGTAGTCCTTCAAGCTGCCTCCTATATCCTTTTGAGCACTCCCTTGCTCTCTGGCACAAGAAGATATTCCAGACGTGTCTTGTACCTTCCCAGCTCCAGTCCATTTCTCCTTTCTCTTAGGATCTCTGGTTCCTTTTCATAGGGGATGATATCTAGACACCATGATCTGGGTGCTAGATGTGCTCCTTGTTCCTAGGCACTTTTAGCAGTTAGAGATAAAGGGAAAAAATCCAAATATGTATATATTTATATGTATATATCTATATCTAATCATGAATTCATGCTGATTACTGATAACTCCAATTCAGATACTAGCCCCGGTAGTCTTTCTTGCCTTCCCCCATTCCACATTAGTATCTTCTTTCTTCCCAATGAGAACTCTGTTGATGACACGAGTCATCATGACATGAGAAATTTGTTCATGACAATCTATATTTCATGTTATATTTTATATTACTTTTTTATTTAATGAGTTTTTTAAAAAATAATTTATCCTTTACTTCCAGAAAGGTAAAAGGCGTAGTAAGAAAATAAAAATGAGCCCGTATTTGTATTTCTTGCATCTACCAGTCCATACATAATGCATGACTATAGCAAAAAACAGACTATGCTTAGACTTCCAGATATATTGTTTGCATTTTGTTTAGGAGAGCCAGGAGATAACCTCCTTTGAAAGATGATTTCAGAGAGTTGCTGGGTACATAATACTTTGATAATAACAATATCAGTGTAAGAGTAGAGGACCTTTAAAGGAGGAAATATTCCTGGCTATTAGTGGCTGACGTTTTGACTTTAGTCAGAGGTTAAATACCTATGTATTTGATCTTTCATACCCCAAATCACCCTTGAATCTAGTCTAACATAAATGTCACCAAATGTATTACCTAAATATTAATAAAATACAGAACAGCAGGGAAATATCTACAAGATGACCTCCTCTGGTTCCTTTACAACAATGAGAGTTCCTCTATCCCCTGTGATATGTACTCGTAACACTTGTGATGTTATCAGATACACTACCAAGCTGAGTCCTCATTTGAACATACGCAGGGAAACATTTTTAAAATTATTTCTAAGTAATTCAGATAAGTTTGATGTCGTGCAAATTGTGTGACTGGAAGAACAATGAGAGGCAGGACTTGATCTATATGAACATAGAGCTAGCAACTGGACCCATATGCTATGGCAGTAAAAGTCTGGATTCCATTGAGAAACAGGCTATCTTCTCATCCTTCTTGAGCTCTGTGTGGAGATGGGGAGGATGTAAAAAACTCCTGGAGGTTTCATGATTTAATTTAAATTATACAACTAAGTTGTTTTTCTAATTCAGATTTTTTAAGATTAACTGAAATAAGGCATTGCACCCCATCAATTTATAGAAACATTACTTTTTCCAGAGATGAGAGATCTTCAGAAGTATGGGTAGGTTACTTTATCAAACAAAGGTCCATTCTAGTAGATAATTTTTAGACAAAACAAACAAACAGCATTCTAATGACAGATTAAAGAGGCGAACTCTGGTAGCACATGTATGAAGTAATGTTTGTTCTGAGACACCTCAATCTGGTGGCATTAAGCTCTATTTTGGAATAAGTCTTAGCATGACAGCTTCATCAAGGGAGTCTGAGGTGATTTGAAAGGACACATGATATATAATAGGGAACTGGGGAAAGAGTCACAGTCACATGATACCTGAAACATGCATTTCACCTGTTGATGTAATTACTGTTGGTAGTACCGCTAGGTTTATGCCTAAAAACACAGCGTTCTGGTAAATTCTGTCTTACACAATTCCCATCAAAAAAGGGAAAAAATACATGTTATGTTTATAATTGCATATGCCATATTCATAACAGGAGAGAACTTCTATTTGACTAGCTATTGATGGA